GGCACCTGCGGGTGGGACGTGCTCACGCCTGCTCCCTGGCTGTGGCGGGCACCTGCGGGTGGGACGTGCTCACGCCTGCTCCCTGGTGCAGGTCCATCAAGCGCTACTTCCTCATGGACCAGGGCGACTTCTTCGTGCACTTCATGGACCTGGCGGAGGAGGAGCTCCGGAAGCCGGTGGAGGACATCACGCCCCCCCGCCTGGAGGCGCTGCTGGAGCTGGCCCTGCGCATGAGCACGGCCAACACTGACCCCTACAAGGACGACCTCAAGGTGGGCGGGGGCGCCGGGGGCTGCCACCTCAGGCAGGGGCCTCGGAGGGGCTGGGAGGAGAGCGCAGCAGAGGCCAGCCCTGTCCCCCACTCCCCGCCTGGGTGGGGCAGCCGCGGGGTCTGTTTCCTTCACTCTCGGCTGTGGGGGCTGCTTGCCGGGATTGGGGGTCTTTGCACCTGTGCTCACGAGGGGCGCAGGTCTCGGGTTTTCCCGCAGTGCGCTTGTCAGCCTGGGTGTCAGGTTGTGCTGGCCTTGTGGAATGAGTGTGGACCTGTCCCTCCACCTGCTTTTTGAAAGGGTTTCAGGAGTGGTGTTCTTTTTGTTTTTGTCTTTCTGTTGTTGTTGTTTTTTGGTTTTTTTTTTGAGACAGAGTTTCACTCTTGTCACCCAGGCTGGAGTGCAGTGGCGCGATCTCAGCTCACTGTAACCTCCGCCTCCCGGGTTCAAGCGATGCTCCTGCCTCAGCCCCACGAGTAGCTGGGATTACAGGTGCGCACCACCATGCCCGGCTAGTTTTTGTATTTTTAGTAGAGAAGGGGTTTCGGCCGGGGGTGGTGGCTCACGCCTGTAATCCCAGCACTTTGGGAGGCCGAGACCGGCGGATCACAAGGTCAGGAGATTGACACCATCCTGGCTAACACGGTGAATGGCGTGAACCCGGGGGACAGAGCTTGCAGTGAGCTGAGATCGCGCCACTGCACTCTAGCCTGGGCGACAGAGTGAGACTCCGTCTCAAAAAAAAAAAGGAGGGGGGTTTCACCATGTTTCCCAGGCTGGTCTTGAACTCCTGACCTCAGGTGATCCACTCACTTTGGCCTCCCAAAGTGCTGGGATTACAGGCATCAGCCACCATGCCTAGCCGTTTGTTTTTTGTGTTTTTTTTTCTGTTTGTTAATTTTTGTTTTTGATAGAGACGGGGGTCTCACTATGTTGCCCAGGCTGGTTGAACCCCTGGGCTCAAGCGATCCTTCCACCTTTGCCTCCCCAGGAGTGTGTGGATTCTTGGATGTTTGACAGGGTTTGCCTGGGAGCCCTTGGGCCCTGGGCTTGTCTTTGTTGGAGACTTTTGAGGCGGACTTGGCCCCTTGCTGGCCACAGGTCTGCTCAGTCCCTTTCCTCTTGGTCAGCTGTCCGTCTTACATCTCGTCTGGTGCACAGTTCATGGAATTCTAGTATCAGCTTTTTATTTCTGTGAGGCTGGTAGTTATATCCCTTCTTTTTCTGATTTTAGTAATTTGAATGTTCTTTCATCTTTTCTTAGCTGATGTAGCTGGGAATTTGTCGATTTCATTGAGCTTTTCAAAGAACCAACTCTTGGGTTTTTTGACTGTTTTTCTGTTTTCTCTGTCATCTTTGTTACTCTTTCTATCTGCTGCTTAGGGGCTTAGTGTGGTCTTTTTTCTAGTTTCTTTTTTTTTTTTTTTTTTTTTTTTGAGACGGAGTCTCGCTCTGTCGCCCAGGCTGGAGTGCAGTGGCCGGATCTCAGCTCACTGCAAGCTCCGCCTCCCGGGTTAACGCCATTCTCCTGCCTCAGCCTCCCGAGTAACTGGGACTACAGGCGCCCGCCACCTCGCCCGGCTAGTTTTTTGTATTTTTTTAGTAGAGACGGAGTTTCACCGGGTTAGCCAGGATGGTCTCGATCTCCTGACCTCATGATCCCCCCGTCTCGGCCTCCCAAAGTGCTGGGATTACAGGCTTGAGCCACCGCGCCCGGCCTTTTCTAGTTTCTTAATTTGCAAAGTTAGTTTACAGCTGTAAACATCCCTCTGCGCGCGGCCTTCGCTGATCCCCCAGCGCCGTCATTTCTGTTTGTCTGGAAGTGTTCCTGATTCCCTCTGATTTCTTGTTGGAGCCGTGGGTGGTTTATGTTTAACTTCCACATTTGTGAATTTTCTGGTTTTCCTTCTGTTACTTGTTTCTAACTTTATCTATTTGTGGTTAGAGAACAGACTGTGTGATTTCAGTTTTGTGAAATGTATTGATTTGTGTAGTGGCCCCACATCTATCCTGGAGAGTGTTCCGTGTGCTCGGGAGAACGCGCCCTCGGTTCCGTGTCTGCGGGAGGAGGAGGCGCCCTGGGTTCCGCGCGCGGGAGGAGGACGTGCCTTCGGCCGCTGTTGGGTGGTCTGCAGCTGGGGTCCTGAGGCCCTGTCTTACCTCACTGATCTTCTGTCGGGCGGTTCTCTCCATGATTAGAAGTAGGGCACCGAGTCTCCCTGTCACTGAAGAGCTGTTTTTCTCCTTGTCGTTCTGTCTATTCTTGCTTCAGATATTTTGGGGTCTCTTGTTAGGAGCAGGAATGTTAATTGTTGGGTCAAACTATATGGCCCTTGTACAACTAGGCTGACGTGGCTGGACTTCAGTCCCAGGACGCTGGGCCACACAGCTGGGGGCTGCTGTCTGCACACCTGCGAAAGCCGCCGTCTGTCTGCTCTATGGAGAAGTGACATCAGGGGTTCATTTCTGCGTCCCTGACGGTCGGCGATTTCGTCTGTTTCTTCTTGCTTTATTCTCTGCCCTTCATTTTCTGTCCTGTCGTGTGATGGTTTTGTAGGAACTCTGTCAGGTAGTTGGAACTTAGTAAGTACTTGAATGATTAACGTGAGGACAGTATTACTTGTCCATAATAACTAGTATATCCCTCATCACATATGCTTTATTTTTCAACCTGGGCCTGGTGCTTATCGTGTACTAAGGTTTCCGTCCTAAGGAATCACCTTTCTTTCACCATCCCAAGCGTTTTTCCCTTACACCATCCACAGCAGCAGTGGGTATTTACAAAGTACTTCATCTGAATTTCTCTTGTTTTGTTTTGATAGGAAGTGGTTCAGTTTTGAATTTGATTTATCAGTAGACGTTTGGGTTTTCGAAAAGCCTCTGAGGTTTAGAATCGGAATGTAGGGAACCTTATGTCAGCACTGGGTCTGTGAGCGTGGATGATGTCGGGATGGGACTTCGCGTTTTTTCCTTAAAACAGGATGCTTTGTTTCATTTCCTTCCCTCCAAGATCGACCTGATGCCCCATGACCTCATCACTCAGCTCTTGCGTGTTCTGGCCATCGAGACCAAGCAGGAGAAGGCGATGGCCCACGCCGACCCCACAGAGCTGACGCTGAGCGGCCTGGAGGCCTTCTCTTTCGACTACATCGTCAAGTGGCCCCTTTCACTCATCATCAACAGGTGCGGGTCGGCCACTCAGGCACTCGCTAGGTCTTCACTCAGGTTTGGCAGAAGCGAGAACTGTGCCACCCAGTGGCCACCTCGTCCCACAGAGGACCCAAGGCGGCTGTCCCCGGCCTTCAGTGCCCGGGGGATTCATGGGTTGTCCGGGGGCCACCGTGCAGACTGTGGAGCGCAGACGCCATGTGCACGACGCCACCTGTCACGGAGGCCCGCCTGAGGTGCCACTGCCTCTCTTGCAGGAAGGCCCTCACTCGCTACCAGATGCTCTTCAGGCACATGTTCTACTGCAAGCACGTGGAGCGGCAGCTCTGCAGCGTCTGGATCAGCAACAAAACCGCCAAGCAGCACTCGCTGCACTCCGCCCAGTGGTGCGTTCCTCCTCTGTCCCCCGTGTGCCCTCCTGGTAGACAGCTCTGCTTTCTAGGCTTCTGGAAACGTCATCTGGAAGCGCACGTTTGTAGCTTTAGATCCATAATGCTTCATTTTCCTGTCTTGGGGCTGCGCGGCGCTGCCGTCCACCCCTCAGGGAATGCTGGCTCTGTCCCTCAGCCCTCTCTGGAGCCTTGTGGTGACTGCACGGGCATGGAGACCACCCAGGTCAGTGTGCAGGACATAAGCTCCTCCCGAGAGCAGGCAGCCACATCTTGCTGGAACCAGAGGTGCTTTGCTGCTGGTCTGTGGCTCTAGGGTGTTGGAAAAAGGGGTCAATGGCAGAGCTGCTTAAGAATTTGTCCAGTCGGGTGCGGTGGCTCCTGCCTGTAATCTCAGCACTTTGGGAAGCTGAGGTGGGAGGATTGCTTGAGCCCACGAGTTTGAGACCAGCCTGGACAATGTAATGAGAGCTCATCTCTTAAAAAAAAAAAAAAAAAGGAAAATTGTTTTAATGAGCTGGGAATGCCTGTAGTTCCGGCGACTCAGGAGGCTAAGGTGGGAGGTTTGCTTGAGTCCAGGAAGTCAAGGCTGCAGTGAGCCAAGATCCAGCCACTGCACTGCAGCCTGGGCGACAGCAAGACCCTGTCTTTCAAAAAAAAAAAATTAGATGAAAAAGACGTCATCTCAGTCATGAAGCACAAATGTGCATCTGCTGTGTGGCACCTTCCTGGTGTGGGCTCCTGGGGCTCCACATCCCAGTCTCCACTGTCCGGCTGGCTGGGGGTGTCCCTGCGGGGCACAGGTTGGTAGACAGTGACAGCTTGTGCTGGGCAGACACAGGAGCAGCGGCCATGTCTGATGGACTGGGAGGGGCACCTGTTTTGCAGAGGAAACAGCCACGGCCACTGGGTGCCGTCAGGGCCACGTCCTCCATGGCTGTCCTCCGTCCTCCGTGTCCCTCAGGTTTGCCGGGGCTTTCACTTTGCGGCAGCGAATGCTCAACTTCGTCCAGAATATTCAGTACTACATGATGTTCGAAGTGATGGAACCGACCTGGCATATCCTGGAGAAAAACCTGAAATCTGTGAGTTTTAGCTCCATAGATCGTAACAATTGAAAGCCAGTTTCCTTTCACATAATTAATATGAGGGAGACAGGGAGGGCAGGAGAGGCAGGGGAGGGCAGAGGCAGGGGGAGGGCAGAGGCAGGGAGAGGGCAGAGGCAGGGAGAGGGCAGAGGCAGGGGGAGGGCAGAGGCAGGGGGAGGGCAGAGGCAGGGGGAGGGCAGAGGCAGGGAGAGGGCAGAGGCAGGGGGAGGGCAGAGGCAGGGGGAGGGGAGAGGCAGGGGGAGGGGAGAGGCAGGGGTTCCCCCCGGGGCGGAGCTGTCCCAGCATTGCTGGCCACACAGGGGACCCCTTGCTGCCTGCCATCATCTGGGGACTCTGAGCCGTCATTGCCCCTAGGGTCATCCCTTCCACACTGCGCCTCTGAGGCTGAGGGGCCTGAAGGCAGAATCTGTTGTTACCAAATTCTAAAAGCAGCCGCAGCCTCCCTTCCTGTCTTCTGCCTTAAGAACTGAAACCCCTTCGGGGCGTGCCCATCATTTTTTTAGTGGTATTTGGAAGTTTTCCCCTAAAAGCCCAAGGCCCATTTAAGAGGTGGAAATGCGTGAACAGGAATGTGCAAAGCCCAAACTGAGCACGTGCGCACGTGAAGCCCGTCTGTCGGCCATGTCTTTCTGAGAAGGGGCTTGGTCTGTTCCCCAAAGGCCTCCAACATCGATGACGTCCTTGGCCACCACACGGGCTTCCTGGACACCTGCCTGAAGGACTGCATGCTCACCAACCCCGAGCTGCTGAAGGTTTTTTCCAAGCTCATGTCTGTGTGCGTCATGTTCACCAACTGCATGCAGGTGCGTGGGCGCGGGCGGCACCGTTGGGTGGGCAGACCGTATCCTGACCGCGGCCGCACGCAGCCTGCTCACCTTTTCCTGCCCTTGTGTGGGTGGAGGAGCCGCTGGGATCTGAGTGTTTCCAGAACTCGCGGTCTTCCTGGCCGGGTGGTTCCCTCCTGGAGCCCCTGCCCTGGCAGCATGAGCAGGGCTGTGTTCCTCCGAACCATCCCTCAGCCTCCGTGGTGCTGGTCTCTGTCTGGGGCCTTTGTTCATGGCCCTTGTGCGCTCTTTTCCTCAGCACTTGAGTTATTTGGTTCCGTTAAGGACCTGTGGGCACTAGTCACAAGCAGCTGCCCAGTGGCAATGGCGCAGAACCTGAGCGTCTAGCGGCAGGAGGGGCACCTGGGGCTACGCTAGGGCTCCAGGGGTCTGGGGATCAGGCTCTCCAGGCAGTGCCATGGGGAGGGTCTGGAGGAGGGCACGGGCGCTTTGAGCTATTGCTGACATGTGAGAGCCATCTCAGGGTCCCAAATAGGGAAACACAAAAAACACTGCTCTTAGGAAAATTAGTTGGTCTCTGTGAAGGCAGACCTGGGAATTCTGTCGGCACAGCTGAAGTCATTTCCCCTGCAGCCGCAGGGATGCTCGTGTGTTCCTGCAGCCGC